TAGACTAAGCAAAAATTATGACAATATATATTTTTTTTATCCCAAGTTTCAATTTTACCTCATAGCAGAGTAATGAATTAATATATTGCTTCTATAGGTTTTGATTATCAGAGATATTGTGGCAGGATAAGAATTTTTAAAATACTGCTCACTTACTTTAAAACATTTTCACTAAAATAAAAATATATTAAATAAACAGCGCATTGAATTTAACCAGAGTAATAAATGAAAGAATAAAGGTTTGCTTAGAAACATAAAGAAGAATTTTACAATTTCATTTTTAAGCATATTTAAAGCTCCTGAAACAGAATATTTCAGGAAAAAAAACCCTCAAAAAAACAAGAAATCTTCAAGAGCCAACAATTGAACCCACTGCAGGATTTGTTCCTTAGTCATTCCCAAGGGAAGGACGAGAGGCAATGGAGATTTTGGGGCTGGGAGCACCTGTCAGGCTGCAGATAAACCCAGATGAGCAACTCATTTGACAAAGCTCTATGAATAGCCATGGCAGGGCTCTCACTGATTCCTGCTGCTCTGGGCCACAGCACAACAGCCTGGAGCTGAGGGACTCACAATACACGTCCTGGGAGCCACATGGACCTTAAAGCGGCACTGGAAAGTTCAAATTATCTGGTTTTTGTAGATGTCCATTTATATATTTATGTGTGTGTGTGTGTGTATTTGTGTATGCAGCTAAACTCATTTGCATGTGTACTCATACACTTTTGAACATTGCAGGCCAAGTGATTTTGATAAATTTTACCTTGATTTAAAAATAGTACCAAGTCTGAACTCCTTTCTAGACTATTCATCAAGAAAATAGGAATTGCTATAATAAAGAACTTGGAATTCAAGAAAGGGAAGGAGTCAGCACTTCTCAATTTCTTAACTCCAGCTTTTAGTTTTATTCCCTCTTCTTTTAGCTCCAGATACACAGAGAAAAATTAAAGCATCCTGAAAGCTATTTCTCATGCTCTTCCAAAATTTCATCCCTAATACCAGCCTTGGTTCCTGAGCAGGCCCATTTGAAACTGATTGAGCAGAATTATTCCACCTAATAGTTCCAAAAATAAATACAAAGAAAAGCCAATGAGAGCCTGTGGTTTCAAACATTCAAGTAACTCTTTAAAAGAATAAGCAGGTCCTGAATGACATAAGAGAATTAAAAAGGAAATAAATATATCCTGTATCTTTTTATTTTTGAAATCAGTGGTAATTCTGATTTCCACTGGGACAGAACAAGAACCAACCCAGAGACAATCAAACAAAACTAAACCTTAGATAACCCAACAAGCCTGAAAGAACAAACAGAATTCCTCACTTTCCCAAAGTTTTGACGGGATTTTCGCAAAGGAAGCTCAGCCACTTTCAAAATTTGTGTCCCTGGCCATTGAACAGATGACACTGAACTGCTTTGTGCACGTGGCCTCTTAAGCCCATAGAAAGACACTGGGACATTAGTGGGGCTCCAGATGGGCACGAGGAGCCTCCCACCTGGCCTGCTGCTTTCCACAGGGAACATCCACAGGGAGCACTGCCTGTGCTGATCCACACACTCATGGTGGGCTTACAGACTCTACTCCAGCCACTGATCTTCCACAGTGAAGGAAGAACCATGAGGAACAGTAGGAAAAAAAAATAAATAAATCCACTGACAAAGCAAATTAAATAACCCAGGTGAAACCCAAGGCATTCCATCTTGGAGAGGACTGTGACTGATGGCAGGACATCCAGTGCTTTTTAACAAGGAGAAACACTGATCCCACCACAGCCAAAGAACGAAAGGACTGCAAGTTGTACAAGAAAAGTTCAATTATTGAAGGTATTGCATCATAACGATTCTCCTCAAACATCCGCCTCCCTAATCCAAATAGAGACCAACTCATTTGTCCACAAGGGAAGGAAGGTATGGCAGCAAACTCCACGGAAACATTATTAAAGTTAGGCCTAAACAGCATCTTTACGTTCAGCACAGCTGTGGCAGGTCCTTGCTAGTTCCAAACTACCTGCCCTTAGAGCCCAGGAAGCCACTGACCCAGAACAGAGCAAAATAATTATCAATTCTGTCCCCAAAGATAAAGAACTGGAAAATCCACACCAAGTTCTCCTAAAAGCAATTAGCACCTGTAAATATCTCGATAATAGCAGCAAAAAGAGCTCAAGAACCCAAATAAAATGAAACTGTGTTGCCTTTTAGTTACAGCTGTTCATTCACAATCTTTCCTAGCACAGGTTGATTTAATGCCTTCGGTTCTTGGAAGGTTGTGACAGCAGCCAGAAGCCCCAAATTAGCCTGAGACCCTTTTCATGCTAAGCCTGCAGAAATGCAGGAATTGCCACCCAGAATCCCAGTCCCAGCAGTGCTTCCTTCAGAGGGCCCTTCCCACCCCAAGCCCACCAATCCCACAGCTGTCTCTCCAGCACAGACTGGAGGCCTATGGAAATGAAGGTTTATCAGTAATTTTATCTCTAGGATTTAAAGTAAGAGAAAACCCAGAATTATTCTGCCCAGCCTCAGAATCCTGTTCAATTTTACTGTGTAACCTTATTAAACCAAACCATAGCTACTTTAAAGACCAAAACACAAGGAGATGGTTAAATCCCTGTAATAATTAATGTATCACATCACTGTTGGCCATGGAAGTTGGGGGCAGAGCTGCAGCTCTGCATACACGGGGAAAATGTAATCCTGCAGCCACTATAGGCTTCCATCTACAGAGGAAAGTGGATCAATGGGATCTCAGGTTGAGAAAAGCAGCACTGTCATGAAATAAAATCATGAAATTATGTCCTTTATTCTTGGACAGGCTTTTGCTGTCCAACTCCTACCTCTAGTAAACTAAAAGGAGAGTCACGTGTTTAAATCATGGGTGTCTACACACAGATCTGCTGATTTTGGGGATTGTCACCACCGAGGTTTGTTTAAACCCAAAGTTATTACAAGCAAGAAGAAAACTAAGAGCAAACTATTTGAAAGAACTACAGTTATGGCTGCTATCTCCAATTCTCCATCACAACATTGTCAAATATCAATCCAGCTCTGGTTTTCTCCTGTTCTTTCAACCCCGTCAAATTACGGCTCTCGCAAACTCTTCCCAGCCCAATCCCAAAACTGCTGCTTCATGCCAAGCACGTGTGTACAAATTAGAAATGGGAGATAGCCCAGCATGTCCAGGAGACTCCTTTCTTGTGGACATCCTTCAGCATGAGGCACAGATGACACACACTCTCTGCTGACCACCATTTAACTGGGATGCCCCTCTGGAACACACACCCATGGCCTACTCCATGGTTCTGCACTCAGCACGTAATAAACCAAAAATAATAATCCCAAAATAAACCAAAGCACTCCAACCGCCTTTTGGAAATTACAGAGGACATAATTAAGCTCCAGAAATAAGCAGACAACAGCAATTTCAATATAAACATCCTACTTGTGTAGGGGACTCTCTCATTTCAACTTGGTGTTAATGCCCCAACTCTTACTTCTGCATCCATGCAAACATCTAGAAGGCTTCTCCCAACACTTCCTTGAGTCCAGAATTTAGTTTGACATTTAAAGCCATTACATTTTAACCTATTTCAGACGTTTTAACACAGAACTTTCCTTTGAACCAGCAGAAAACATGGTCAGCTCAGTCCACCAGCAGCACCTGACCAACACCGAGAGTGGGGATGGAGACACTTGGCCTTCCCAGCAGAAAGCCATGGATAAACACATCCCGACATATATATTTGAACAAACCATTGACCAAATATAGCCGGGCACCACCGATAACCAGGGGCTGCTACCAAACCACATCCCAATCCTGCAAACACCAAGTCCAGCTCTTGGACTGCCTATCCCTGGAAGTTCAGCTCGGGAAAGGGTCTTTGTACAAGTGGTCTTTGTACCTTCATCACCGCAGGGGTTTAATAACTCAAACAATAAGTCAAACAACGGCCTGGAACCCGGGGGGCAACGCCGAGGCTCCCTGTTACCCCAGGAAAGCAACACTTTCGGGACTCGGCCGGGGCTCAGCACCCACCGCACCACCCCGAACTTTGCCCGGCACCCCCGCCACCATCACCCTCCTCCCCTCCCGCTCCGGAGGGGCCCAAAGGAGCATCCCCGGAGCATCCCCCGACAACAAAGCTGGGGCGGGGGGCGCCGGGAAGGGGCCCGAAGTGACAGGCGGTGCCCCCCCGGGGTAAACAGGGGGTAAACACGGGGTAAACAAACAACCCCCCCGCCCCGCCGCTCCCCCCGCACTCACCTCAGGGCCCCCGGGCGCAGGGAGGAAGGCGGAGACGCACACAAAGGGTAATAAAGGGGGAGGAGGAGGAGGGAGCGGCGCTCCGCGGGGCCGCCCCCGAGGGACGGGGGGGGGGTCTCGGTGT